TACTTTTTCTCCTTCCCTCTCTCTTCTAGAGGCGTCTGGCTGTAATGTGGAGCTGCCATTTACATATGAAAAAGTACTCAGATCTAGACGGTTTCCTAGGACCAGCGCATGTGGTATCAGAGTCATGCCTAACTTCCCTGCTCCCAGGGCTACGTTCTGAGTGTAAGGCCTGTGTTTTCTGTGTCCCCACGCTCACTCATGGTGAGCATGCTCATGCTCAGCAGCGTCTGAGCCACTGCCGATGCTTAAGAAAAATTGTGGACGCACTGATGCAAACAAGCGTCTAAACTGAGCAGCGACTCCAGACAAGATCCTCCAAAGAGTTTAAGACAGGCAAGGGGCTCCACAAGGAGATGCAGAGTGCCGAGTCTGAGAGCATAGAACTCTGCTGAAGATAAACTACCAGCAGCAGCTCCACTAGAGCAGGTGTGACAGGGTTCAAAGTGATGCCCAGGAACCCGGAGCTGTTAATGACAGCAGTTCTGGGCTGTCCCCATTCATTACCTCTGCGCCTCAGACCTGGTGGTGGATCTGGTGGTGGCACCAGAGGGCTCATCATCTTCCTCCTCCTCTTCTTCCTCATCAGACTCCTGATCTTTTTTGTCCTCAGTTGCTTCAGAAACTGATTTCTGGCGTTTTCTCTCTGGCTCTGAGGAGTCTGTGAAGATAGAAGGGTAACACCTGGCTCATGCAATTCCCAGACACTTCCAAATGAGAGGCCTCGAGTTTAGAACTGAGGCTAGGAGGGCCTGCAGGTAGAAGAAGTGGTTTTCCACTTCCTTTTATTTCAGCACTTGCAATTCACAACTGTTTAACTTAATCTCAAACACATTTGGGATCGTTTACTTATGCAGTTCACAGCCAGCATTTGTGAAAGGTTCACATGCACTTGGAGAAAGCATCTGGGATGTACCATTTCTGACACAGGATTAGAGCCATTTCACACAGATTTACATAATAGCAATGCTGGATTTCTCTTTATCCAAAGAACAATGTGAACAAGAGGTGAGTTTTTTTCCTGAAATATATCAGAAAGCTTTGTAATTAAGAATGTGCTAGAGTCATACCGGTGTCATCTGACAGTGTGAGGGAGCGCTTGGGCTTCCTTCCTCTCCGACGCACAGTGGCTACTGGTCTTTCTTCATTGTCATCCTTGAAACAATGAAATTCATTTGCAAAAGTTGGTTTCTTGAGCACTAAGTTAATTTCTAAACAAGATATCTTGGTAAGAAATTAGCACTTACATTGCTTATACTCCTTTCTTGTGAGTTGGCTGTTTCTTTATTGGACTCATCTTTAAAAAAAAGAAAAGGAAATTTATACATTGTTTATTACTATTGTATTTCAACAATGGGTGTGATTTGTTACATGTAATGTACCAGTGATACACAGTCACACAATTTACCATTTCTTTTTACTAGGTAACTAAAGGTTGCTATAAGTTAGGAAACCATAGATTTCATTTCTGATTTGCAACAAGAAGTCTGAGTGATCAGGGCAGGTCATTTAAATGCTCTGATTGCTAGGGTTCAACTATAAGATAAAGAGTTAGGCTCAACCATCTTTATGGACTTTCTCAGCTCAAATGCAACCACAAAGGAAGGAAACGTGTATGTAAGATACCTAAGATCATCAGAAACTGCAGGCTGAGATGACATATAGGTTGTAGATTTCTTATCCAACATACTTGGAACTGCAAGGGCTTCAGATTTTGGTACATTTGCATAAACATAATGAGGTATCTTGGGGACAGAACAGGGAATTCACTTACATATGCCATATACATCTTACACATACACAGAGCCTAAAGGTAATTTTGTGCACAATGTTTAGTTCCACTGTGTTCTGACTGGGCACCATCACATAAGGCTGGGCATAGAATTGCCTACTAGTGTACCACTCATACGTTGGCATTGGATTTTGAAGCATTTCAGATTTCACATTAAGGATGCTTGACCTACACTTCTCTTAAATCTAATGTAGCTCTATAAATATCGTAATCCCCGCTTACTGTTTGAATAACTGTTCAGTAATTCGTTCAGAGTCATAGGACTAACGAGTAGAGTGATAGTTGGAATTGTTTTGACTTCAAATGACTTAGATAAGGGCAACTGAACTAGTACCTATTGTAATCCTGTTCATGTGGTTTATGGGTGCCCAGTCTTTATACATTTAAGTAGATACTAGAACTTCCTGAAAATGGTTTAAAAAAAAACAAAACACTAAAGACTATTCTATTATTCGAAGCTAAAATTATGTGCTTGTTTGTTAAGATACATAAAACTCATCGCTTAAGTAGCTCCCTTTTCTGCATGTTCAATAAACTGAGAGTGGCAAATTAATACATAAAGTCAACAGATAAGTCCAGTTTTAACTGGTCAATATTACACAGACACAGAAAATTACTACTAAATTACAACTCCACAACATGATCACAGAGCTTTAAATTCTTGCCTTTAAAGGATACTCAAGAGGTGAAGGATTTTTGCTATTTGGATTTAACGTATTATAACATTATAAGTAATAGTGAATTAAAACACAATCAAATTCAGCTGGGTGCCAGTGGCTCAGGTCAATATTGTTAACTATTCAGGAGGCTGAGATCTGAGGATCACAGTTTGAAGCCACCCTGGGCAGAAAAGTCTGTGAGAATCTCCAATTAACCACCAAAAAAGCCAAAAGTGGGGTTGTGGCTCAAGTGGTAGAGTGACAGCCTTGAGCAAAAAAGCTAGGAGACAGTATCTGAGGCCGAGTTCAATCCCTAAGACAGGCAAAAAACAAACAAACAAACAATAATCCCCTAAAAAATACAAAAAAACAAAAAGCAAACAGAAAACCAACCAGACTCTGAGTCCTCCCTCTCATTTTTAGCAAACACCATGAGACAAAAACACTAAAGTATAACCAAAAGCTCTCACATAGTTAAATGTGGGAACAGCTGAGAACAGGCTTTCAATAGACTGAGAGGACAAAGCACAACAAAACCCAAACACCCCAAATCTGGAAAGTGTCTGTCATAGATAAAGAATGCTCCCATTCTCTTCTCACTTTGAGGTACTCAAGATTTTGGAGTATATTTTCTCCTTGGACTGAAGATAAAATGTAATCTTTTCAGTTCTAGGTTCTGTTAAGGTACACAGGCAACTTTAAAAAGTATTACTCCTGGGCTGGGAAGGTGGCTCAGTGGTAGAGTGCTTGCCTTGCATGCATGAAGCCCTGGGTTCAATTCCTTAGCACCACATAAGCAGAGAAAGCCAGAAGTGGTCCTGTGGCTCAAGTAGGTAGAGTGCTAGCCTTGAGCTGAAGAGCTGAGGAGGCATAGCACCCAGGCCCCGAGTTCAGGCCCCAGGACCATAAAAACAAAACAAACAAACAAACAAAAGTATTACTCCTCTCAGAGCAGTGTATTTCTGTCTTGTGATAACGCTGTTCACTTCTAGGCTAAAAAAGGATTTGTTGCCTAAACAAATCCAGCCAATTATGATTTGGATAGTGAGGTGCAGTGATGTCCATGGATGTAGTAATGCCTTCATTATTTTGCCTTCTACTTCCTTTACTTTCCTCTCTGAAGGTTGTACAGACTTCTTCAACGAAGAAAGGCTCAGCTCACAGAAGAAGAAGATAAATATATTCATGTATGTTCATATATAACGGTTAACAGGCCCACTCAAGTCCCTGACAAACAGGAAGTCTAAAATCTTCCCTAATAGCCAGCACCCCCGAGAGCTTACAAATGAAACCACTTTGAAATTTTTTTGTGTGTATGGGCTGAAAATACACCAGACTCCTTACTGTTACATAGAGCAAAATACTGTAGGTACATACCTGTTTGTGTTACTTTCAACTTGCTGCTTGGTGGAGACTGTTCTACCTAATTTTTAAAAAATAAAAGATTGAAATTAGGAGTTTATCATTAACACGTAGAAAAGGAACTGATAATGTAAAGATGGTTTAAGACTGACATTCATTATGCAGACAGGATATTGGCACCTATTTTCTACAGCTGGTCAAATACGCCTAGCACAGTGCCCCAAACCTCAGCCACCGTGCTGTGACATTAGAGGAAGAGTAGTAGAGGCAACACATCAGGGCCAAGGTGTTTACCAGGCCCTGCAACCAGTGAACCATTTCACAATTGCTGTCTTGCAAGTATACAATAAGAGAAATACTACTTTACGGGCAGGGAATCTGAACCAGAGGGTCAGATGACTGGGAATAAGTGGCAAAGGTGAGGTTTGCACCCATGAGCTTTTGTTAGGTCAGTGCGCATATCTGTCCTCCTTATCATGCCACCATGCAATGTAGCTTGATCCAGTGACTTTACTGGGACTGGGGACACACTTCAGGGTCAAAGATACATAGTGTCAGAAAGATAAAAGTATCACTGATGATTCTTTTGTACTAAAAGCAGTGAAAGTAGTAGTCAAAGAGAGTAGTTAAGGGGCTGGGAAGGTGGTTCAGTGGTAGAGCGCTTGCCTTGCATGCTTGAGGCCCTGGGGTCGATTCCCCAGCACCACATAAGCAAAAAGAAAAAAAGCTGGAAGTGGTGCTGTGGCTCAAGTGGTAGAGCGCTAGCCTTCAGCTGAAGAGCTGAGGGACAGCACCCAGGCCCAGAGTTCAGGCCCCATGACCGGACCCCCCCCAAAAAAAAGAGTAGTTAAGACAGATACCTCAGATGTGTCTCTCAAAAAGCTACTACCTCAAAATTGTATAGAATTTCTATTAAAAGGATGACTATAAGAATCTAACTTCCTAAATAAATCTACATGATTAATCTCCAGTGGGAGTAGAAAAGAACAATTAATATAATTCTGCTTACATGAAGGCATCAATAATTAAAGTATTATGTGAATGGCTATCCAGATTTTAAGAAAGTCTTTCAAAGCTTTCTAAGTATTTAAAAAATGAAGTAGTTCAAAATACTAGATATTGGAGCATACCATTTACATGTCAAGAGCAAGTATTTGAAGGGTTCATTTCTTATCCTTGCAATTACTTACAGTGACAATGCCAGTATCTGTTTTGGTGTCGTCTTCTATTTAAAAAACAAAATAAAACAAAACATAAACAAAACTTAGAAAATCAAGAGTGAAAAATCTGTGTGTGAATTGAAGATGTACAAAATACCTACTCGATTTTAATGTTGTTTCTATAGGATATTTACGAGGTCGTCCTCTTTTTCTTTTAATAATTACCGGCTGATCTTCCTAAGGGAGAAATGGGAGGAAAAAGTCCAGCAAGGAAAGAATAGTTGTACTTTCTATTCTAGTAATAGTTTATTTCTTCAAAAAGAGATTGAGAGTTCCATTCTAAGAGGGCTCAAATCCCAGCTTTGTCACTTAGGCAAGGATGCTACTGTGCAGGCCGTCTCTCTCTCTCTCTCTCTCTCACTACAATCCCCTCACCTGATCACAGCAGATGAACAAGGAGGCCATGGGAGTAAGTATGACTTGCGGCCTCGTCCTTCTCGAAGGACTGTGTGTGCCCCAGGACGCCTAGGATTTCATTCAGCACACTCGTGGCCAAATATTTTCTTATAACAGAGTAATCTACTGGCTTTCTCAAATGGGATGAGGAAACCCAAAAAGAGCCATTAAAATTCTGGCAATCGGAGCAATGGTTACTAGAAGCTTGGCTGATATTCAGGGGTATGTCCCTGATTTAAGGGGCTGTCTCAGGCCACTGGCATTCTCTGCCCAATAGACAAACCCCATAGACTCTGTCTGACTGGGCAGGACGGAAGGGTCTGTCTGCAGTAGCAGCCTCCCAGGAGCCCAGGAACTTCCTTGCCTCATGAAACTTAGGTCCTCCCTGCTGCTGCTTGCTGCTTGCGTTTCCTCCTGCCAGACTCCAGAGTTCAGGCAGCCTCCTGCTGCTGCCCTGGCCTGCTATCTGGCCAGACAGGGTCAAGCTGACATGGCCCCTGGTGTACAGAGGTACACCAACCCTATATAACCACACTGCATGTAGGTTGCGTACAAATGTTTTCATGAAACCAAGAGGAAGGGAACAAAATTCATCATAATGACAGTGATAAAATATACTGTACAAAATAGTGTCCCCCTGCACTAAAAAAACAAAAAGCTCTCCCAAAAGTATGTACAGTAATGGTATTTAACACACTGGGTAAGCATTCGACACTTGAGTAAGTATGAAAGACTGTTCTCACTTCCTGTGATTTGACGCCGTCGTCTTCATTTTGCTCTGTCCTGTCACCAGTGGCTTCACTGCTGCTAAATTCATCTGCAGAAAAGGCAGAGCGGGCTGTAGCATTAGTGGCCATGGCCAGCCTCCATCCGGTCCAGGGGCTTATCAGAGGGACCGCCTGACGGTGGCCATGCTCACTCCATTTACACTTCTCCCTCATCAAAACCCCTAAGCCTGAGTTCGCCTAAACCAAGAAGCAGCATACTTTGAGAGAACATGATCCAAATGAATAGTCATTTCAAAGTATATGAATGTAATCGCGGACACAGGGAAATCAAGGCAAATGCTGCAGCTGGTGAGCTCAGTGAGAGGGGCCGGCGCTCGCACCCCAGGCTTTCCCTCACCTTTTTCTTCGGCCTGTGTAGCGCTGCTGTTTGTCTTGGAACTTATTTTAGGTAACTCCTCCAGATCTCCGGAGCTCTCTTCCTATAGACAAGGTGAACAAAACAAGATTTTTTTCTTGAACTTAACTTTGACTCCATTCACCCTCCTCAAAGCTCACCTCAAAAACAATTTCCTAGCTGTTTTTTAGAGTAGTTAATTGAAAAAAGTTTTCTTTCTTTTATTAAAAGTAACCATCACTGCTGCAAGTGAGACTATAAAAGCAAGGTAAGAAGACTATTAGAATAAAAAAATTCTAAGTATTCCCAGTGATATAATCAGATTGCCCCACAAACTTAAAATTACTATGCAGAAAAAAATACCTTTGTATCTTGTGGTTCAGTCGTGGAACACTGGCTCAGTGCTGTTTCCATTCCGGAATCCAGGACACGGGGACTATCATCTGGAAATCAGTTTGGACAGAATCACAAAAGAAGAAAAGCTAAATGAAAAGTGAAACTTGCAGTTTTATTTTCAAGCAGTTTGAGACTTCTTTTTCTTAGGTTTATGATTCAGTGGAGCTAAAAGTTATTCTAAATTTATCTAAAATGTCATATGATTTGAAAACTGGTTTTTGGCACTGGCAAAGTAAGTAAAAGAACATTAAACAAACAAACAAAAATATCTCCAAATTCTCACCAAAAAAATACTGTTTTATGGAAAGGGCTTAGTATTTTCCAGAGATAATATTTTCCTCCAATTTCCTGAATGAGTTACCACTTAAGGGCATAGCTTAGTGATCAAGACCATGGGCTATGCAATCAGATTTGCTTGGTACTAGGTAGACATAGCCTGTCAGAGACTTAATTCCTTTGTATTTATTTTGTGCCCGTCTGGGGGCTTGAACTCAGGTTCTGGGCCTGTCCCTGAGTTTTTTTGCTCAAGACTTGTGGCTCTATTACTTGAGCAACAGCTCTACTTGCAGCTTTTTTGGTATTTAATTAGTGATAAAAGTCTCATGGACTTTCCTGCTTGGGTTGGTTGGCTTCAAAAGTCAGTCCTCAGATCAAAGCCTCCTGAGTAGCTAGGATTACAGGTGTGAGTTACTGGTACCTGGCTTAATTAATTTATTTAATCCCTACCATTCCTAACTCACAGAATTAGTTTAAGGATAGAATGGGAGTGATACTTTATTCTATGTATTGTACCTGAATCTGATATGAACTAATAATTTCTACAAAATAATATCATAATATCACAATAATGTCTCAACTAAAAAGGGAAAAGCATTTCTCTACTGTTCTCTATATATTTACTAAGTAAAACCTTTATTCAATTTCTATTTTGTGAGGTATTAAAAGAGAAGATCTCTGCATTGTCTAACACAAGTAGTCACTCGCTACCAGTGGCTATTAAAATGAACGAAAAACAATTAAAAATTCAGTTTTTCATTCATAGCAATCACATCTGAGTCTCTTCAGCCACACTGTATGGATAAGGCACACACAGAACATTTCTGTCCCTCGGAGAGTTCTGTTGGATGGCACTGTTGCAGGCCAGCAGCACCGAGGACAGGGGCAACCACATATGCTTTGGCTGTAAGTGCTTCACTTGCTCTGCAGGGCACATGGTCATGGTTCAAAGCACAGGGCTCAGCAACACTTGCCACAGGCCCACAGACACCCTAATGGTGTCAATCCATATTAGATTAGCCTCATGAGCTGTGAAGAAGATAGTTACTTCCCTCAAGAATTCTTTTTTTTTTTTTGTTTGTTGGTTGTAGGGCCTGAACACTGGGCCTGGGCGCTATCCCTCAGCTCTTCAGCTCAAGGCTAGCACTCTACCACTTGAGCCATAGCACCACTTCTGGCTTTTTTCTTTTTGCTTATGTGGTGCTGAGGAATCGAACCCAGGGCCTCATGCATGCAAAGCAAGCGCTCTACCACTGAGCCACCTTCCCAGCCCATCAAGAATTCTTTTGCTGGCCCACTCTTCTGAATATAAATATAACAGTTTTTAAAGATGTTTAAAAAAGGACTATATATTCTAAATACCCAGTTCGTCTTCTGAGGAGGGGCAAGGCTTCTTTCTTTTTCTTTTTGGCAGATGCCTTTCTTCTTCTTCAACCTGGAATTAAGAATGACTATAATAAATACCAACAGATTCTGGGCCAAATCAACTTCAGTGGTGGCACACAAATAATAGCTTCTACTCTTTGGAGTAGGTTGATACATAAATTAAAAAATATAATCTAGACTTGATTAGTAACATTTCTGGACTAACTCTAAACTTGACTCTTATTTTAGATTTGGATGTATATCTATATAAAATATCAAAATCTGATTCTGGTTACATAGCCTATTTCAATAATTCTAAAACATAAACTACAGAAAAATTTTCATCTCATCATCTCTGAAGTCTAGCATTATTTTACATCAATGGAATTTCATAATTTATTAGTATTTTTCTACTGTTAAGGGGCCATTAAACATGTGCTCCTAAGGTTGATGAAAAATAACACATAAAGAAATATTCTGGGACTGGGAAGGTAGCTCAGTTGTAGAATGCCCTGGGTTCGATTCCTCAGCACCACATAAGCAGAAAAGGCCAGAGAAGGTACTATGGCTCAAGTGGTAGAGCACTAGCCTTGAGCTGAAGAGCTCAGGGACAGCGCCCATGCCCAGAGTTCAGGCCCCACAACCGACAAAAAAGAAAAAAAAAAAAAGAAAAAATTATTCTGATATTCTGACTGTATAACATAGATATTTCCCCCCAAATCCTGAGGTCTGCCAAATTTTGTCAACATTATAACTGCATATGCAGGTACACATGATATACAGAACTCCTGATAATCCACTCAACTTATTACAGGCTTCCTAATGCTTTTCAGGGAATACAGACATGAACACAACACAGAATACATGAAATGCTTGAGTTTATTATGAAAACTTACCTCTTTAGAATTTGTTTCAACACTGTGATCTCTTACAGTTTCTGCAGTGTCTTTTCTACCACTGGATATCTCTGCATAGTGAATACAGCAAAAAAAAAAGTATTCAATATTTTTTAATCTAGTTCTCATTTTAGGTTTATGTGTTGATGGAGGGCAGCAAGAAACTTTATCTTGAGCAGCAGTGATGTAAGAGGTATGCAGCAACAGACAGATCACAAAAGACTTTTGATGGGATACCCTAACAATATTGTCAGGTTAAGTTTCATTTTCTCCCATTTCCAGATATAAGTAAACAGGGTCCTGGAAGTAACATTTCCAGGGCCACAGCACTGGATTTTATACAGCAGATGTCCAAGTGTTCCCTAAGTGGTACTAAGAATCTCAGGAAAACAACAAAATACTGTACCAGTCATCAGATGAGCAAGTACCACCTTAAGACAACCGGGCATTCTAAGAAACTGAAGGAGTGCCTATAACTCAACTACTCCACATTAGAGATGCAGCAACAATCATATGTTCTAGAAAGCAGCTCCAAGGGCATGCAAAGAGCACTTTTTGTAAAAATTACAGAAAACCCTAAATGTCCACCAACAGAAGCAGCAAAAAAAGAAAAAGGTTGTATTCACATAATGGAAACAGTAACTAAAATAGTAAGTAGCTAGAACAGACTAATCAATAGGCTAAAACCTCAGAACATATTTATAAGGGAGCAAATAAGGTAAAGTAAGTAATATATAGAGCAACCTCATTCACCTGACCTAGGACATCTATGCTCAATGTTGCTCATGAAACCAGAAACTACGTCTACTCAATGTGGAATAGTGGTCCCCTCTGGATGGGTACAACAAGGAAAGAAGACTGTGACTAGAAAGGGACAGCGAAGGTATCTGTGGCATTTTTAAGAGAAGTATAAGAACATGTTATATTTGAAGATATAACAGTACTAGGTAACAGGTATATGAGTTTTTATCATTATTATCAGTTTGCTTTTGTTTGAAATATGATGCAGCATGTTACACAATAAGATTGTGAAGTCAGGTAATGCTGGTTCACAACTGTAATCTTAGCAAATGGATCTAGAGGACTGTAGTCCCAGGCTAGCCCAGGGAGAAGAATCTGAGATACTACACTTCCATAACAACCAACAAAAAGTAGTCTGAAGGTGTGGCTTAAGTGATGGGGTGCCAGCTGAGCAAAGGTACTGACAAGTATGAGTCCTACAGTTCAAGCCCTGATACCAGAACACACACATGTGCGTGCAAGTACAAACACACAAACACACAACTGCATAAACAAAGTCCTGGGCTCAATCCCCAGCATAGCAAAGATGTGTTTGAGCTAGATGTTGGATGCTCATGCCTCTAATGCTAGCTACTCAGGAGACTCAGATCTGAGGATCACAGTTTGAAGCCAGTCTAGGCAGGAAGGTCTACAAAACTATCTCCAATTAACCAGCAAAAAGCCAGAAGTGGTAGTGTCAGGTTTGAACAAAAAAAGCCACGCAAGAGTGCAAAGTGCTGAGTTCAAGCCCTAGTACCTGCACACATACAATCTCCCCCCATATAAATGGGTCTATTCCACACACACACACACACACGCACACACACACACACACGAATAGAGAACCTACAAAATGAGTAGGAACAAACAAAATTTTATATTTTTGGTGAGAAGAAAATTATTGGTCTACAGAGTGGCCTGCATAAGCTATGGCTAATGAGGCCTGACCCACATACGTATGTCCTTGATCTGTTGCTAAATTGAGACTACTTGTCAGAAGTTAATAAATGTTCAGGTATATATGTAGCACAGAATTTCTAGACAAAAGAAGTCTAGCTGCAGACCAGAGACAATGCATTTTATACTCACGATGAATTGAGTTCACTCTGAAGTTGCTGGCAAAGTTCTAGCAGCTACTTGAGGAAAACAAGATGTATAGTCTTGAAATTTCAACTCACCTGACCTCTCCAAGTCCCATCTTACCTAGATGTGATGTGATATTTAACGTTCTCTGGATCTTATGATTTACATGAGAAAATCTGTGGGCCTGGCATACAGATGGCACTTAATGAATGCTAATGAGTTAATATTTACATGATTATAAGACATTCATTAGCTTACCTCCTTCGTTAGAAGCTTTGCTATGTTCTTCCTTTACTCCTGAGCCTGAGTTTTCAACCTAAATATACAATATAAAGGGTTATGTATTCCTCACAAAAAGTTAAAGGGAAAAAAAGGAATGTATATAACCTGGTTATGAGTACAAATGCCAAAAGGAACTAGAGCACATGTTCTTTTTAATTTTCGCAGCTCAACAGCATATAGCATGTTCCTATAAAAAGTTTCAACTTAGCAAATTCATTCTTCAGTGTTTATTCTCCTGTCTTTACAATGGTTTTGACAAAAAAGAAATGAGTAGAAAATTTCAAAATTCTACAGAAGCTCTTCTCATTCAGAGCTCTCATAATTTTTTCCTTTTATTTAAAAACTGAACATATGAATGTATGTGTATGTTTGATATGTATTTGTTTATTGGTCATGGGGCTTGAGCTCAGGGCCTGGACACTATCTCTGAACTTTTTTGAAGGCTAGTGCTCTACTAGTTTGAGCACTTCCAGTTTTTTGGTGGTTAGTTGGAAGTAAGAGTCTCATGGACTTTCCTGACTGGGCTGGCTTCAAACCATGATCCTCAGATCTCAGCCTCCTGAGTAGTTAATATTACAGGCATGAGCTACATTTTTGTCATGTGATTAGTTGTCTGGCAACTCTTGTATCTTTGTATTTATCTCTGTATTGATCTCTGTATCTCTGTATGTATGTCTCTCTCTCTCTCTCTCTCTCTCTGTCTCTAATGAGAAAAGGGACCTCTCAATGTATCCTATGATACAGAACTTCATGACTATGTGGAAGGTGTGCCTGGCTAAGGGCAAGAGGGCAGCTGGGATTCAGGAAATTAGGTGGCAGGTAACACATGCTGGCTGGTTTGGTACATTTCAACCTCATTGAAAATCTCTGTAAATCTCAGGGTGCAAACTTGAACCAGGCCAAAAAGGGCTCTTCCTTATCAGCATAATTTGTATGAGCTTCTAGCTTACACAAGCAAGTCTCACCATGATCTCTCAGGGCCTGACAGTAAGCAAAGTTCTCCAAGTCCTCTGGGGGAACGCGAGAGAATGCAGGTGTCTGATATTTGAAAGCATTTACAAGATGCCTACCACCTTGCTATGTATTAGGTTACCCATTAATACATTATGGCTGACCAAAACCAAACATTGGTGAAACATTCTTTCAGCCATGAAAGTGATTTTGAGAGCTACACCTGAGAAATATACATATTTATGGCAATTACACTTCAGAATCTTTAAACAAACTTTCCAAAAAGCATAAAATGATCTTTCTCAAACTGAAAATTATTTTGTCTACAGAGCCAGGAGAATTTAAGGTATTACAATCCCAATTTCAATTCCATTATGATCAAACCCACAAAGTTCAGAGTTCATCACTAGTGGCTATCAGTGAATGTGGAAAGGCCCAGTTAAAGCTTTGGTTAGCGTGCTGATCTTTAGTGGAGAGCAAACTACTATACAGGACTCAATCACTCTCAAACAAAGCAATCAATGCCAACAAAATTAAAATAATTACAGATACTTACATGTAGTAACTCCTTTTCCGATGAACACTCCCTTTGTAGCTCAGCTGTTCAAAAAAAAAAGTGTGACCAATTGGTATCTACAGTATGTGTTCGATGTTTTATCAGACAAGCAATGGAAACTGATGTTGCCTGTGTTCTCCTGCATTTTTGTAAAAATGTCTGAGGACCATTAAGCCAGTAATTTAACTATTCTGATCATTTGAAGCTTAGAAAAAGGTAGACCCTAATGTTAGTGATTAAGCTGCAATAAAACACTGGTTCATTAAAAAATAATGCCATCAAATGAAAAGTCAGATCCTATCCCCTCAAACAGCAAGGGTCTGTTTATATTCTTTGGAAACTTGAAGTACAAGGTCTACTGTTTCTACTCAACAATGACAGAACACACATTTTTCTTTTAAACAACTTCCTTTTATATAAATAGATCTCTTACTGAATTGTTTCTAAACATAGTAAAGCAGTCTGAAACATAACCATGGGAACAGAACACTATGGAATCCAAAAATGTTACTTTCTTGACAATTAACAAATGTGATGTTAATTATTTGTACTATGAAACATCCAAACCTATTTTAACCGTATCAGTCCACATTTTACATAGATTGATCACCTTCGGCATGAATGACTTACTGTGGTCTTCCAGGACTGGCTGGTATTTCTGTATACAAAGGCCATTTCTGATGACTTTTATCTAAGAGGATCTAAAATCACTGACCCTATAACCTCCCCAGACAGTGGTTATAGATGGGGATTTAGGCACTGTATTCTTGGACTTTGAATAACACCAGTTCCATCATGCCTTAAGCTTCTGTATGCTCATCTCAGTGGACAACTTACTTCCATGAGTCATTTTCATCTTGAAATCCCTGGTCCTCACAAGTACCTGATGTTTTGTGCAAGTGATGTTTTGTGCAAGGAAAACCTTAGAAGAGCCAAGGTGAGTGCAGTAGACATTATAGATGCCTTTCAGGCATCTTACTCATAGCCCCAGCTGTGTGTGTAATGTGAGATACCATGTCCTAGGAACAGTGCATTAGACTTAAGTCAACCAACAAGCTACATTCCTCTGGTCACAATACCAGTCAGGATAGACACACAAACTTAAGTTCAGTGAGAATGTCTCATGATTTTGGCCTGAAAAAATAGTGCAAAACTATTTTCCACCAGGCCACAAATGAAAGACAATGACCTTCCACCAGGCCACAAATGAAAGACAATGACCTCTGTGGGATAAAGCGGATAGGAAACGGAGTTTCTAATGGGTGTGTCTGTGGAGGTCAGGACAATCCTGGCTCTGTGCTTGAATTTTTTTAGTTCTGCAGACTGATACATTCTCTCTAAGCAATTGTTTGTAGAGTGTTTTATTATTTGCCAATAAAGTCAACTTGACTGTTCCACTGACTTGCATGGTTATTTCAAAAAACAAAGAAGCTGAGCACTGGATGCCCATTCCTGTAATCTTAGCTACTCAGGAGGATGAGATCTGAGGATTGTGGTTTGAAGCCTCCCAGGAAAGGGAAAGTCTGTGAGAATCTATCTCCAGTTTTCCATCAAAAAGCTGGAAGTGGAGTTTTGGCTCAAGTGGTAGAGTGCTAGCCTTGAGCAAAAAATCCTCAAGGACAGTAGCCAGGCATTGAGTTCTAGTCATAAATGTGTAAAGGTTCAAAAGTTCCTAGTTTGCTGGGTGCAGGTGGCTCAAGCCTATAATCCTAGCCTCTTAGGAGGCTGAGATCTGATCACTGGTTCAAAGCCAGCATGGGCAGGAAAGGCCATGAAACTCTTATCTCCAATAAACTATAAGAAAACCAGAAGTGGCACTGTGGCTCAGTGGTAGAGCGCCAGTCTTGGGGTGAAGAGGTGAGGGATAGCATCCAGGCCCAGAGTTCAAGCCCCTAGTACTTTACTTTTTATCCTTTCTTCTTTTTTTGGTCTGGGGCACTGATGACTGAATCCAGGGCATTGTGCATGGCATGCCAAAATCCACCAGTGAGCTTAGACCCCTCACCCCCCATTCTATTTTTCTTCTTAACATCTGATTCAGAAGAAAACAATCCACTATAGTCACAATTTCATTTCCATTTTCTTAACCTAATGTTTTTCAAACTGTGATCAAGTTCCATCAACCACAAAAAGGGGGAAAGTTTCCCAGGTTTCTACCAAGGGAACAGTAAGGGTCAAACATCATGTAAATAGTAAGATATTACTGCTTTATGAGCTTATGAACACATAATAGTTTTTCAGAGATCAAAGATGTATCCACAATTAATGAAAAATTTATTCACACCACAAGAGCTGGGGACGTAGCTCAGTGAAAGAATACTTGCTTAATATTTGTGAAACCCAGGATTCAATCCTTACCATACACATCCATACAAAAATCAACATGCAAATCAAACAGAGAGAGAATGTGAACAAATAGAGAAATGAACTGCCTTCTTTTAAACTAGATTTGAAGAGATTTGCAAATAAAGATAAAACGTCACCTTTCTTACTAAATTTTGTTGTTTTGGGAAATTCAGCTATTTTCTACAAAAAAAAAAACCTAACAGTAAATTATTTTTATTTCTTACCTGAAAAGTATCAATTTAAAATCAACAGAGCAAATGCTCTTTGAGGTTTTCATTAACCTTCCACAATATAAAGCAGCCTTGAGATCAAAATGTTTGAGAGCTGCTGCCATGATCCTTTCTGAATTTCAGATTCTCTCCTAAAAAAAAATCCTCAGTGTAAAGAGAACATTGTGCAGACTAAGAAGAGGCTATGTAAGCTTAGAGCTGAGAGTAGCTTCACTGTTGTTACTAGGGCAGAAGCCATAGTTCAGACCAAGAGCCAATGTATGTATTTATGCTGCACAACAGCCTTCTGGGAATGACTAAGTCTTTGGATATAGGGTGTGTAGAAATACTTTAGGAAAAAGCATCGGCTCCAAAACAGCTTTGTTTCTGCTACTGTTGGAGAAATCAGATTTAAACAATTACTTCACATAAAAAAGGCTTTTTAATGAGAAAAATATGTTAAAAATGAAAGAGCAAAGAATTTCTTCTGATAAAGGTAAGAAGTGAATGAACTCATCAAGTGTGCCAGTTTCATTGTCAACCAGTATTGATTTTACACTAGTATGAAAGGTAAAAAACATGCAGGGGAAAAACCACGACTACTATAAAAACTTACCTATTTCACTCAGCTTGCCCTCACAGGGGCTTTCTGATACTGCTGGAATTTCATGATTTTTTTCTTCCTCTGAAGGCACAAATGTCTAAAAAAATCCAAAGCACCATAAAAAATAAGTTAACTGAGATTTTTACAAGAAGGCAAGACCAGTCTCCAGTGAATTAAAACAAATGAAAACTCCCGTATTTTGAAATATAAAAATCTGCTTTTGTACCAACCGAACTGAAAATGGGCTTGTCAGCTTTCACCAACAAAATAAAACAAAAATAAGAAAAAGCCAATCTAATATGGCAGCCATGAAAGGCTCCATGGCACAAAGAGGAAGTCCAATTTAGCACAACAAACATGGCCCTGCCTCTCTGCCTACAATGCTTTCTTCCAGTGTTTTCTGGTAAATGTTGACTCTGCTTACAGATTTCTACTGACATGTAAGTCCTCCTGTCTGCCTGACCACTGCTCCTTTTCATTACGTTGTAAAGTTGTGCTTCCTCTATATTGATCCTAACCCATGAAAGGGTCTCTAGTCACTGTCACATTGCCACACATAGGCTGACAGTGCTATGCAGTGAAGCTGGAAAAAGGGCAAAGAGACTAGATGGTGGAAAACACAGGCCATCCTAAAATCAAGGAAGATTTTACTTTAAATGATGAGAAGCCACCGGAAATCTGAAGCAGAGCAATAGGACCTAATTTCTATTTTTAAAGACAAAGCACATGGCTGATTGTAGACCTGAGGAGGGCTGGAAAAGGAGAAAGCTAATGGGAGGCGACTGTAGCAGCAGCTAAGATGAAGGAGGCAGCTGCAGCACTAGCAATAGATGGATTCATGCTGGGGATCTTTTAAGATTTGGTAATGGGTTAAATATAGGAATAGGGTAAACTGAAGGTGACCTCTAGATTCTGGCTAAAGGAAACAGAATTGTGGATGGCACTGTTTACTATTTTTGAGGTGCTTGGTTTCTCTTCCACAAGATAAGGCAATGACAGAAACAGCTGAGAGTATAATGCACACAGATGCCACACACTACACCCAAGTACGCATGCACACTTATACAGAGTGAAATGACACATAAGCACTGATAGTTCACATAACTGAGTTATCAGCCATACCTCAGTTTTCAAGTTGTTTGTCAGTTCAGACACTCGCAGAACATTTGATGGAGACTCTATATTGCCTAATGAAAATCAAAATGGTTAACACCAACTTAAGAATTTAATTGCTAAATACACTTGGTAGACCAAGCCATCTTACAATGAGAAACCAAAGGAAGATTTGCTGGTTTATCTCACTGTAAGTAGAAATGGATTATTTTGTGTGAAAAGAATCGGAAAATAGAAGTCATTTACTCCTTTGTGGGAGTCAAACTGTTTCTTGCTTGTACAGTAAGATGGCTGCCCAGATAAAAAAGGATATAGTATTATTTGTGTAGTCATCTTATCTGACAGTATCTTTCTAGTCACACCCAAACTGTATGCAATCACTGACATATACACTTAAGATGATTTATGACTAGGTTCTCTTTGAGTCTTGCCTATATAGCAACAATGAACACAAAGCTTTAAAAAAAGTGAGGCAGACCCAAATGCAGTTTCTCAAGTGGACCATCAATTTTACTTAGGTCTTGCCTCTTTTTCTCCCATGATCTTCTTGTAGCTGTTGCTTTTCCAGTTTCCTTTATTTTCCTCACATATGATATAAAAAAAAAAGCCTCCCCCTCCCCTCCCCCCCCCAGAAGGCTGCAAATTTTTTCTCCCTAAAAAGCTCATCCAGGATGCGGCATAGCTCAAGTGCTAGAGTACTTTCCTAGCAAATTCTAGTTCAATCCACATACTTCACACATATCCTTCAACTTTTACTTTCCACAGGGAAATGAAAAGGGGAGAGGAAGTGATACACTATAATAGTGCCTGAGTCATAAAAAACGTTCCAAGCGGTCAATTTACTCCAGGCTAAATTCAATGGAAAAATTTAGTTATTTTAACTCATAGTATTATGTAATGTCTATATAAGTTCATGTAATGAAGAGGACTAAATCCATCAACCTCAGCTTCCTGAGGGCAAGAAAATCCAAGATGCCACAATTTATACTCTCAGAGTGGAAAACAGGCCAGCATTACCATGAGCTGTCTTTGCCTTATTACAACACTAAATGCTTGTCACACTAGTGTTATTGCAAACCTAGGTACACAGCTGTCATTCCCTGTGGACTATACTATGGTACAATAAATGATGGAGACTGTACCCTCGAAAGTTATCAATTACTTCTAAATCACCAGCATTCTCTGGTTTACCAAGAGGGAACATTAAATCTTTTCTCTTAAAATATACAGAAATTAATCAACTAATGAATGAACCAGAAAGCTGAAGAGCAAAGAAATTTAGCCACTTTTAAGATTACAGTTATACTTCAATACCTGGGTTCTCCTGTGTCTTATCTCTTGACACATGAGAAATGAGTCTAAAGTTTTAACTTTGTATGTTTGTGTGTGCCAGTCATGAGGTTTGAACTCAGGGCTTGTTTGCTAATTGGCTTTTGTGCTCAAGGTTAGTGCTCTACCACTTTGAGCCACAGTGTCATTTCCAAGCTCTTAAGTGGTTAATTGTAGACGAAGAGTCTCAGACTTTCCTGCCAGGCTGGCTTTGGACAACAATCCTCAGATCTCAGCCTCTTCAGGAGCTAGGAATACAAGCGTGAGCCACCAGAGCCCAGCTTAAAATTTTAACTTTTTAAACACATTTTTTTCTTTTAAGAGAAGGTCAATCTCCAACTTTGAAGAATTATTTTTCAAGATTATGCAAGAAAAAAATATTCTATCATTCTGAACCAGGCCCATCTTTTAGAAAATTGCCTTAAGTATTACTGTAGAGGGCAGCCATACAATTAGATTCTCACCTATGTCACACACATTTTCTTCAGCAGGAACAGTGACTGCCAGGTTTCCTTCTCTGTGGCGTAACTTCCTTGTGCCAGTACTGTGTCCTGTTTTCTCAGCAGATGTTTCAGCAATCCCTCTGTCACTGTGATCACTCTTTGGAGTTAAATCCTTTTCACCTTTCGGAGCTGTTGGAGCTACCTGGCAGGCAGCTGGAAGGTTAGCTATGTTCGGAGGTGTAATTTTTGACTCTTGGCCTACACTACCCTTGCCGGCAACACTTTTCAAGTTGTCCCCAAGTGCCTGCTGCTCAGTAGGGTATTCTGCTCCAGGGTCTTTAGTGAGCGGTACATAGTCAGCTTTTTTAGCACCAGTATTTATTGCAGCCAAATGGCGACGATTGAGAGAGAGATCTTCTGCGGATGTCTGCTCTGGTCCTGTCAGATGGACAGGTGAGTCAGAACTCTTCTCCAAGACCTTTTCTGCTGAACAACCGGTTGAATTATTGTCCCCTACCATCTCGGCCTCTGAGCTTCTGTCATCACTGTGAATGGGACTCAGCAATACCTTCTCCTCTTCTGGATTTACAAGGTGCAGAGCACTACTGTTTTGTCCTCTTGCTGTGAATGGGCCTTGGCCAGGGCAGTCCCTCCCATACCTGTCTTTCTCTTTTGCACATAAAGCACTTGGCTGGCTTTGTCCCACAGAGGGTGCGTACAATGTCCGCCTTCCCTGACCTTCCTCAGTGCTCACTGCCAGGACAGGGCCTGTGTCTTTGCCTTCTGTGAGTGGTCCAGGACACTGTCCATTACTCTCCGTCATGAGGCTGGGCATGGGGACTTCACACTTGCTTACTCTGACAGTGACTAGGTCATTTCTGTCTGAGTTGTGGGCAGCTGGCTGATTATCCTTCTGACTGCTGAGGCCAGCTCCCAGCGGCACATACTCTGCTGTGCTGGTGGAGATGATAGCGCCATCACTTGAGTCTTCCACTCTCTCACTGGTGGCCTGGCCCTCAACCCCAGGGACAACACCAACCATGACTGCTTCGCGTCCTTCAGAGGTGCTCGTGGAAATCATGGCAGTGTCGCTTGTCTCCTCTGCTGGTGTGACTGAGGGATGGACTTTTTTGTGAGGGGCACTGGACACGGCTCCTTCGCAGTCCACCATGGAGCTGGTGGAGATGACAGCACTCCCATCTGTAAGAGACGGTGCGTTTTCACTTACACCAGAAACCGAGGCCTCATACTCCTCTGCTATGCTGGTGGAAATGAGAGCACACTCATCCTTTTCTTCCTTGCTGGTTGAGGCAAGAGGGCATTCAACTTCTGTGGGAGCACTAGGCATAGGCACCTCAGAGTCCTCAGTGCTTACCAGGATTGGGCCTGTAGCTCTTTCCTCAATGGTTGCGACTGGCTGCTGATGTTCAGTACACTTGATGTCTACTGCGCTGGAGATAGGCACTTCAAATTCCTCCCCTATGCTCGTGGAAATCATGGCACACTCGTCCTTCTCTTCCCTTCTGCTGGCAGTGAGTTGAGTCTCATTCTCTGAAACAGCACTGGGCATTGGGGCCTCGAATTCTTCCGCTTTTTCTCTGGCACCTTCTGTGTTTTCTTCAGTTCCCAGAGTACTTGAATGTCCTGCATCTACCATTATGCTTACTTGAGGGGTGTACTCATTTGCTGTACTGGTAGAAATCATCAAGCCTTTGCCTTGACTTTTACCGCCAGCTAAACTATCTTGGTTGGAAATATCGCTGGCTGTAGCAGCCATGCGGCCATCACACTCTTCATTTTCTACTGAGGTGATGATGCCCTCGTCTTCTTTTTCACTTAGTGATGTGTGGTCAACTTCACATTCTGGGACTGCCCCAGACACAAGGACATCGTAACTGCCCCCGACCAGGCCAGTGGTGATAGTGCTATCTTCGCCCCTTTCCTTCCTACTCTGTAGACTATCAGTTGGATCAGCAGCTGCACTAGTCATGGGGCCTTCTGGAACTGGGGCCATGTCACTCTTGCCTGCAGCTGCACTGGTCACGCTGCTCTCGACAATCCCTTTGGCACTGGAACAGATCTCTACCTCTTTGATTTCCTTCTCTGAGCCGCTCATGCTATCAATGTTACTTTCATTTGCACTCATGACAGTTGCTCCGACTTCTATGTCCATGCGCACTACTGTAGGACCTATCTGACTATCTTCCCCTTCTGCACTCTCGCAAATTTCTTCTCCTATCCCTGTGCAGGTTGAAGCATGGCCAATTTCATTTCCTCTTCCTGTACTAGTCACGACACCTTCCCCTTCATCATCTTCTTCTTTTGCACCTGTACTGGTCACAATGTCCTCATCGTCACAAGGACTGGTGGCCACTAAGGGTACATCAGTGTTATCTTTGGCTACTGTGCTGCCCATCGCACTCTCTCCACTTTCTTCAGTCTCAGAACTTATTGCGTACCCTTCGCTGCTGTCTTCCAAGCCAGTGCAACTTGCTGGCCCTTCTCCATCTTCTTCTGTTATGCCTGTGCTAGTGACTGCGCTCTCACCTTCCATACTGTCATTTCCAGAACCATCTCTGCTGGGGATGGAGCTTGTCCCAGGGGGTATGTTATTATCTACCTGGACCACATCGGCACCTGTAACAATATGCTCCTCTTGGGGCTCGGCCCCAGTCACTGGGCAGATAACAAAGTTATCATTTCTGCCTTCTGCTCCTGTACATGTCACAGTACCCTCTGTTTCTTTTTTGAAATCCATCTGTGTCCTTTTTCCCTCTTCACTGCTCACAGATCCTGCTTGTATTTCTGTCCCAGCACTTGTAACTGCTCCATCGCTTTCAACTTCATTAATGAAAACAACAGTCCCCTCAATGATTTCTGAGTCTCTACTTGAAGAACCATCACACTTTACTTCTGAACCTGCACTGGTTACGGCATCATCTTTTTCCTCTGTCACAGCGCTGTTTATATCAACTTCTGTTTTCAATGTATTGGCAGACACAGTGCCTGCTGCTCTGTCTTCTGATTCAGCCACAGTACACTCTCTACTTTCTCCCTCCTTGGTACTTGTGAGGAAAGTTTCGCTTTCTGCAAATCCTTCTGTGACAACACCCCCACCTTCTTCCGCTGCAGCAAAAATGGTGCATTCACTGGCTTCCACTCCAGCCCCTAGGGGATTGTTTCTGGGATGTGTACCTATTATAAAGCCTTCATCCGCCTCAATGCTGGTGCAAGGCAAAACCACTCCCTTCTTTGTGTTTTTTAATGAAGTGGTGGCATCCCCAGCCTTTACTGGGCTTAAGGAGATGCCTTTGTCCTTCTCTGCAGTACTAGTAGCAACAGAAGTCTCTTCTGCTCTACCAGAACCATCAGCTACTTTTGGAGTTTTCCCATTCCTTTGCTCAGACACTGAGGGACCACTGGTATTTACCTCACTGTTTTCAGTCTTCTTCTGAACATCCGTTGATAGAGTTTCCATTTCAACTGAATCTTTATGCCTAAGTCCATCTGTTTCAGCATCTTTTCCTGTACTTATGCCTACCACAGGATTAACAGTAATGTCACCCTTCTTGTCATTTTCCATGGCTGTCTGCTTTAAACTGAGTTCTGTATTTAAGTCAATTTCTTTCTTGGCCACATCCACAAAGCCAGATTCTTTGACAACATTCTCATTTTCTACCATCATGTCTGTTGACCTGTGAGCAACACTAATATTTGCTTTCCCTTGTTTACTGTCTAACAGAGTGGCCTGGTGATCTTCTGAAATGTGTTTTTTGCCAGCTATGCTTGATTTTCCTGATAAATCTACTGTGGAAGCATCACCACTTTCTTTGCCATAACTTGTCCTAGGGACTTCTGATTTCCTAACAGGCAAACTTTGGTTAGTGGTATCAGAGGGATCTGTAAGGGAGGTGCTGGCTATGCTACCTTCTACAACAGTTCTGCCCAGAGGAGAAATCAGTTCTGAACCAGATTCTTTCTGAGACAAAACACTCACTGAACCTAAGGCTAGTGAGGGATTTAAGTCTATGGAATGTTCAAGAGCAGTGTCTTCTTGACTAGTATGTTCTTCAGTAGGACTGGATGTGCTTTTCAAGTTCTGTACTCTATCGCTTTCTGACAGGGCATTAGAGAACATTTTGAGACTTGTCTCTGAGCCCACATTCACTTCATGAGCTCCTCGCTGAAAGGACTCTTTCTCCCCAGGATTTGGTTTAGAGACAGCATGCTGAACATGCAATTTCTTGGTTAAGGTGCTGTTATGGTCAGCATGCTTTTCAGAATTGCTAGTAATTCCCACTCCACGGCCTGATTTACAGGCTGCAGTTGCTGTTTTTGAATCTACTACAGAAGTTCTTAATTCATCTTTGAGAACTGTGGTAGTTTTTGGTTTTGTAGCAAGGTCAGACCCAAAGTCTTGCTGGGAACTATTATGGCTGCTATCTTGAGTTTTAGAGCCTTCAAATACATTTTCAACAACTGCCTCAGAATCAACTTCCATTGGTTCTTGTTCAGGAATTAATGTGGTTTCACCACTTTTTTTTGGTCGCAGGAGAGAGGAACTACTGGGAGTGGCCAAAGTGTTTCCTGATAATTTATCTTCTCTGGTCATTTCTTGTGATAAGCTTCCTCTTCGATTTTCACTTAACCTTCTATTTAACTTTTTTTCTATGACTGAACCATTCCCTCTGGTCTTTTCATGGTTACTTTCAACTTCTTTACCATCCTTATCATCTGGTTTGTTTTCTTCCTTCTTTTTCAAGTCTCTGTTGCTGTGCTTCAAGTTTCTGCTTTTGTGTCCATCTGATAATTTCCTTTCAAGTCGGGAGGAACTCGAATCTTTATCACCTTTATATTTTTCCTTTGCCACTGGTAGCTTTGCTCTGTGACTTGAGTCTTTCTGTGTACTATGTGATAAAGAAGGAGCACCCTCTAACACATGATCAACACCAGCTTCTTCTAAAGGTCTGTCTTCAACTTTAGACTTGCGTTGTTTTTCTGAGTCAGTTTCTTCTGTGTTCTTCTCTTTATCTGGTTTTGAAGTGATTGTTTGTTTTGTGATACTTTCTTGTAATTCTGTTTCAGAAACTTTTAATTGTTTACTTTGACTTTTTGATTTAGACTTCAATGTAAGTTTTTCATCCAATAAACTCTTTGTTCTTCGCCTCTCCTTGTGAACAACTTCTTCTGATTTTAAACTACTTTCTAAATTAGTTGAGTCTGTCTCACACTTATCTTCTGCGTAGCTTTCGCTTCTTCTTTGTACTGTGACACCATGTTGCTTGGAGCTAGAAGGATCTTTCTGTAATTTAGAATCACTTGATCTCCTGGATTTGTGTTCTGCCTTAGTTTTTTCAGATGATAAATGTCTCTCTTTTTTATTTTCTTTACGCACATTCTCATCTGTTTTTATAATATATTGAGAAACTGGTTTTCCATCTTTGCCCAACACTGATAATTTCCTTTCATTTCTATGTTTATTCTTTCGTTCAGCTTTGTCATCTGAAGAAAGTTTAGTTTGTTGATTTTGTTTCGGAATATTTTCCTCTACTTTTAAGCCTTTCTCAGAGTGAAGTTCAGTCTCATCACCCATTTTATGTACACTGTCACCCTTGTATTTGTGTTTTGTAGATAGTTTTTCTTCTGATGGAGTTTTTTCTTTTTCAGCCTTCTCTTTAGATTTTATCTCTTTCTTAGGTAGATTTTTCAAATGTGGAATTTCAGAATCATCTTTCTTTAGATATTTTTCATTTTTAAGTGAGCTTTTCTGTTTCTGGGTTTCTTCTGTTCCACTCTCAGAGCGTTCCACTTGCCTTTTTCCATCTCTGGTGTCAGTTTCTTCTGGTGCCCCTTCCGTTACAACAGGGGTAGATGTCCGCCTTTTATGTTCTCTTTCTACTTTGGATTCAATTTTGTTTTCATCAGTTGAATGTAAAGATTCTGAAAGTCTCCGGGTAGGTTTACTTGGCTCGCATTTTGCGTGGGCATGTTTCAACTCCTTTGAAGATCCCTTTTCCTTTTCACAATGCTATACAAAAGCAAAAGTTAAAATATGAGAAACACACACACAAAAAATCAACCTTTATATTCTAACTGAATATTTGAAGACAGTGAATATGTGGAGTATTGGCACTTATGAAGCGCTTCACTTGGTCCTTGGAGGGCAGTCTATGTTCACCTCTTTTATACACAGGGAAGCTGAAGCTCAGGGGCTGTAAGTAGCTGTGCTAGGAAGTCTAGTGATCTCGTTCTGAGCTTACTATTCCTCCCACTATAACATAGGCAGATTCACATATTAAGATTCTTTTCAGAGTAATCCTGAGGCTTATTCATGTAGTTAAGAAGCTTCTTTCAAATCTAAACTGTGCCATAACAAATAATCACTAAATTATTGGGTTTTCCAGGAAATATTAAGATATGTTAGCTACAGAATTATAAACATGGATGTTTTGAGCAAGGATTCAAATCTAGTGAAAGCCAAGTTTGTCCCAAGAAAAATCATCAAAATGGAAAGAGATGTATTTTTACGTGGTCAAATTCTAAATATAATCTAGGTATGGGAAGGAAAAGAGAAGTAGTTATTATCTAGATGAAATGAGCTGGGCATTAGGGACTCACACTTGTAATCCCAGTTATTTGGGAGACTGAGATTTGAGGATTACAAAATCAAAACTAGCCCAGGCAGGACAATCTGTGAGACTCATACGCAATTTGCCATCAAAAAGCCAGAAGTGAAACTGTAGCTGAAGTGAGAATACTAGCTTTGAGTGAAAAAGCTCAGGGACACTGAGTTCAAGCTCTAGTATTCTGCCCATAGTATCTCTCTGTGCTTACCCTGCAGCAAACACAACTAACCAAAAGGAAACATCGAGAAATTCAGGCTATAACAGAACGGGAGTGGGTTTTTATTTAATCTGGAGGTCAAATATTATAGTCTTAAGTTTTACTGCAAAGGACTACATATTTGACCAAAGAACATTTGAGATAGGGTTTTACTAAGACATACCTCACTTGTTTTGAGAGTCTCCTTGGAATCTTCTTCAGACTGTTGTTTCTTTTTGGAATTCTCGTCAATGTTCCTAAACAGGAGAAACAAAAGTCAAATATGAACTTTCAATCTAATGTAAGAACTTCTTATGAAGGCTGAAAAGAAAAAAAAAAAAAGCTTTCCTTTACTATGAATACTTCTTAAGTGAATACTTTTTAAATTTCAATAGAAGTAACATCCTCAATCAGGGAGAACACAGTTCAAATGTGGCATAAACTGACCTTGATGATAAAGGAAAATTTATGGAAACAATTTTCTTATTTGTTGAAGGTGAATAGTATGGATCATATTTGGGAAGTTTTATCATCTGTTAAGTAAGGAGACCTTTTATATTCAGTTTAATAAATTTATGAGGTAATAACTCTTACCAAATTCTACAGATTATCAACTCTCTTATTCCGAAGTCTAGAATTAAGTTACAAAATTGTAACTTGATGTAACATCAGAACTGTAGGCCATGTCCAAATGACTTCATATTTTCAAGACTCCCTTTGGTTTCTAATTCTTATATTATTAACAAGACTGTGAGTTAGGGGACGAAGCACGGGATATTGGTAAAAATACCTATGTGAAAAGGCTAGAGAACAGATGCAATCATTATCCTAGAATAGAAATTCTTTTAGCATACTTCTAGAGGATCCATAAATTCTATGAAACTCTAGGGATAACTGTGTATTTATACATGTAAACTTTATCTGGGGAGAAGTGCTAAAACATCTACCAGATAACAAAAGTAATGAAGACATACTATTTTGAAATTATATATGTATATATGTTCATGTTTAAATATGCAATATAAATATAATAAAAATGAAATTTTAAGATCTTTAAAAAGTATACAGTAACACACACATACAGGGCATGACTTTTTACTGCTATTTTCAATGTATCTCCTCTAAAAGCATGCCAACAGAGTATAACAATTGGAACATGGCCTGTTAAAACATGTACCGTGAATCTTTTTTTCTTCTTTTGCTTAATGCTACTTTTTTCTCTAAAACCTTCCGTTCTTTAAGGACTTCTTTAATTCCTGGGGCTTTAGGTTCCAAACTCTTTGTTGACGCTTCTTCTAAGTCCATGCTACTTTTGCCTAGGAAATAAAGCCATTAACAAACTGTATTTCTGAAGAGAGTCCTATTTAATTTTCATTAAGGTCTTATACTCAGTATATAAAAATGCAAAATGGCATTCAATGGCTCTTAAGTTGTGCTAGAATCAACATAAAACAACTGAATTGCGTTTTATGCAATACACCAAGGAAATGAGGACAAACAGGGATCATGGGGTGAAACTGTGGTACAGCATATGATTATCATGCATGAAGTCCTGGGTTTGGTACCCAGTGCCACAAAAGCAAACAAACAACCACACCTATAAGCCTTCCCAAACTAGCATAAAGCATATGCTAATTCCATTAATATCACTATTACTTGTGTTAACAATCATGTCCCAGTGATAATTCATTCTACCATTACTGGAAAATAAATTTTTAGCTCATCAGTGGCATACCTTGTGACCTGATAGAATGCTTAACAGATATAGCAATAAAAAGAAAAATATCAGATTAAGAAGGAAATCTTCCACACTTGAGAATAGATAATTTTATAAGTAGTGTAAGAACAATGTGAAATTAACCTATTATTACAGTTCAATATAATAAAATTATCTGCTATACCTTGATTCTTGGCTTTGGAAGACTTTGTCTTTTCTGCTTTCTGTTTTCGTTTTTCTTCAAGTTTCTCTCTATTAATTTGCCTTCGTAAGAGCCTCTCTTCTTTTTCTTTAGCCTAAACCCATAAAATACCCTGATAGATTATTATGCAATAGCAAAAGCACTTTGAAAGAAAATCTCTAAGACGTTTTAGGCCTGGGGTATAGGGTTCAATGGTAAGAGTTTTTCTATCATGTGTGAGCTCCTAGGCTCAATCCTAAGGACCATACATGTTTTAGTCTGTTCTTCAGTTGTTCATACAAATTATGGGGATCTATGAGACATACATACTTTGTAAACATACATACTTATGTGTATGCTTTAATTCAGAAGCTATCAAAAGAACAAGAGGCAGACATGAAAATTTTCCATTGTTTTAAGAAAGCCATTTGTTTAAAGAATTAGAAAGGTACAATTGTGAGAGATAGTAGTTAAAAATATTAAAAAGAAAGCTACGAAAGTATGAAGCATCACATGTATATAGGTAGGTCTCCATGAATTTTCAATTGTTCTTACAGAAACTGAAATACAAATTCAAGTAGCAGGCTAGTTCTACAACTTGGTGGGATCCAGACTTTAGACTTTAATTTTTTGTTTTGTTGTTAGTCATGGGGCTTGAACTCTGGGCCTGGGCGCTGTCCCTGAGTGCTTCAGCTCAAGGCAAGCACTCTACCACTTGAGCCACAGCACCACTTCTGGATTTTTGGCGGTTTACTGGAGTTAAGGGTCTCATGGACTTTTCTACCCAGGCAGGCTTTGAACCATGATCTTCAGATCTCAGCCTTCTGAGTAGCTAGGATTAAGGTATGAGGCACTGATGCCCGGCTGTTCTCATTTTTTAAACCAGTGAAAACTTGTATTCGTATTTCATATTTAATGTTTCACAAATTGAAATCTACTGTTTAGATAGCATGGGATAAAAATTTTCTTTAAAAACATTCGTAATTCAATGTCACATTTTGTAATTCAAAGCCTTTTCAAATCCAAGAAATAGTGGGTTGCATTTCACTATAAATGCGATATTAATGGCTGCATAATGCATATCTTTACATGACTTGATCCACACTGATCCAAACATTTTCGTACCACTTACTACTCACTTGTATCAGTAACAAGAATATAAATACCTCTGTCACACATTTCTACTCTAGCTGGTTAAATGATAAGGCTTCTGAAGGTAAAACAAATATGTCTACTTATACACAGAATATGTGAATTTGTCAACCTAATGCAGTAGACAAAAACAATATGAGATCGAACAGGACTTACAATAGACTGTCGCCGCTGTTCTACAGTGAGTTCGTCATCAGAATCACTATAGTACTTTGAATAAAGATATGGTTTGTGAACATAAGCTTGCCGCACGCTTTTTGGTTTTCCTTCATTAGAATCACTAGTTTGAGCTTTTGTTTTATTCTGTTTGTTCTTCTCTTCATCTGGAAAACAGTAAGTAGAAGTTTGCTTCTGTGATTTCTGTATAGTAGGCAGTACAAGCAGCAAAAGTAGTATCAATGTGCATACGGAAATTTAATTTTAACCTTGCTCATCGTAACTGTAACCCCTCTGTACAGTATTTTTACAATAAAAATGTATAAAACTTAACATTTTAAAAGCTAAAATTCTTATCTTTATCAGTATTAGTAGCTTGAATAAGGTGCTTGTGCTTTTATAGGCTAATCTGAGAAACAAAGTAAATAATTTCATTAGTTACAGCTAGACCTTTGCCTTATTTGCATATGATCTAGATGTAATGGGAAGTATCCAGTCAGAGGTTAATTGGTGGTTTCTGATGAGCTGATGGCTTTACTGATTATACCATTTTTGGTTTGCTTCTGCAGGAACCTAAGAGTTCAGGTACTGAAGCCTTTTCAAACTAATGCTTCTTCACCCAATTATATGTTCTTTTGACAACGAGTTCACTGCTGTTTGTCAATGGACTTGAGAGGAATACTTACTTCATCACTGTTAGGTTGAACAAATTTATTTGAACCTGTTCTTCCTGTGTACACTGAACTCTATATTAGGAAGATGATTTGTTTCCCTTTAACACAGGAGGAAGGAAAAAGATAAAACTTGTTTTTCATGTCCTACCACTTACCACTCTGCAGCTTCTTTTATTTTTTCCTGGATACAAACAAAAGAATGAAAGATGGGCGAGACTGAAGAACAACTGTGGTATCAGAAGGTCCCATGTTTTCTCCCTCTGATTTTCTATGTGTTCTATCCAAAGCTACAAGCAAATTTTTAAGATGCTCTTGGATAGAAAATGGCAGATAATCTTTGGTTAATTTTAAAGACAGAATTTGACCATGGGGTAAGGAGCAACATGAGGTACAGGTTAGAAACGCAAGTTAAGAGTTCTGTGCTGACATTCATGAGCCATGTGACTTCACACTGGCAAATCTTACTGTACCGTTTTCTCACCTGTTCCTTTATTTCCAGGACTGTGATAAGGACTACAGGTCTTATATAGACCCATCTTTGAAACCCAAAGTACTCTGTCAGAATTAGGTGTTTAATACTCAAGTTGAATTCAGCTTGACCAGAGGGTTCTAACTTTTGCCCTCGGCTTCTGGGAGGTCTTTTCTAAGCCTTACAAGCGATGTTCCTGACTGGAGGACTTCTGTCTGCCTGGTAAGATCTTGAGTAGAATCAAGAAAGTAATTTAGGGTGAGTGCTTTAGGTTTTAAAAGTATCAAGCTGACTTTGGAGGGGCAGAGGCAAGATTAGACACAGAGACAGTCTACTACAATTCTTCAGACCCAAGAAGTTGGGGACCAAAGTTCCAGGGAACTCTAGATGACAACACTCTGGGTATATTATCAGGTATGGATGCCAAGGAAGTAAGGCTGCCCGCACCTAAGGAAGACGAATGGAAGCTCCTTGTTTGAACTTTCCTGGATTTTGCCCTATTATCTGTTCTCTTACCTAATTTTTATCTGTCTCTCAGCTGTAATAAATCATACCCAAGTGTATATCAGAGTTTGATGGGTTCTGTGAGTACTTCCAGTGGTTACTGAATCTAAGGCAGGTTTGGGATCCTGAATTTGCAACTGATGCCAGACTTGAGGGTGGTTTTGTAAATAGTGCTTTTCTCTAAATGTCACAGACACAAAAATGCCATTTTCATATTAATTACCTTGCCTCAATCCTGTAATAAATCCCAGAGGATGGAGTCAAGAAATGGGATAACCACAGCTTGCTGAGGGTTAGTAACTCACCAAGGTTGCTCAGACAGACAATACTGGAGCTAGGACAGAAAGAAATCTTCCAAATAAAGTCTCAATCTCTATTATGCTACCTTATGCCTCAGGAAATATCCATTAGAATATACAAATAAAGGTAAACAGAGGCCTTGTTAAGTAAAATGCTTTACCATCAGATGCAATCTCTCCTTCTTCCATGCTATCAGACATTATAACTTCCTCCTCAGTGTCTTCTTCAAAAGATGAAAGGTCACTGGTATGAACAGAACTAACTGTAATGTCTGTAAGTCCATCCACATCAGAATCTATCAAAGAGCAATCTTCAAGGAGAAAATAAAACACCTGTTATAAGAATATATTCAAAGCCCAGTTCCTAAATTATACTGAAATTTATGCTTTAAATATATATTGGGTGGCTCATGCCTGTAATCTTAGATACGCAGGAGGCTGAGATCTGAGGATTGCAATTCAAAGCCAGCCCAGGCACGAAAGTCTGTGAGACTCTTATCTCCAATAAACTACCAGAAAACCGGAAGTGGTGCTGTGGCTCAAGTGGTAGAGCGCTTGCCTTGAGCTGAAGAGCTGAGGGACAGCGCCCAAGCCCAGAGTTCAAGCCCCATGACTGACAAGAAAAATAAAAAAGAAATTAAACTATTAAACAAGGTATATATAAATGTATATAAATGACACACATAAAACCAAATTTCCTGTAACTATTTCTTACCTAATAATGTAAAGATTAGGAATACACTGAGGTTGCTTGGAATATGTGAACAAGGTGTAAGAAGAATTATGAAGTCTATACTTTCTTAACTTTTTCTGTGAGTAGACATATCCTTATAGAAAAGACATTACATAGTTGTTGCCGCTTTTTCCAGGGGAGGTTTCACCTTGGCAATATTGGGGTTTTGAATTCAGACTTCAGATAAAATCCTGTGCTTTTGACGGGGCCAGCCTTGAACTTCAATTCTCTTAACTTGGAGTATACAGGCATGCACCATTATGTCTAGCATATTCTCTGAGCTAATTCTTCCCCTACCCCAGGCTATACCTGAATTCATTCCTTTAAGTTATATTTCCCACAGAGCTGGGATTATAGATGTGACCCCTCTGTGCCCAGTTTATTTATATTTATTATTTCCATTTCTTTTTATTTTTATTTGTTGGTTGTAGGGCTTGAATTCTGGGCACTGTCCCTTAGCTCTTTAGCTCAAGGCTAGCACTCTACCACTTGAGCCACAGCACTACTTTTGGTTTTCTGGTGGTTCATTGGAGATAAGAGTCTCATAGACTTTTGTGCCTGGCTGGCTCTGAACCAGGATCTTCAGATCTCAGCCTCCTTAGTAGCTAGGATTACAGCTGTGAGCCACTAGGGCCCAGCAATTTATTACTTCTATTTCTTTAAAAATAAAAGTTTTCAGAGTTTTGAGATAAAATTATCTACTGAATAGTTAAAATTTGAAGCCAAACTTGTTACTTCCCCTCTGTTCCACTTTATGCTCTTTACATTGTTGTAGTTTTGGAAGTTTTTAAATATACCTTCTTTTGTTCCTTCAACAGTTTTAGCTTTACTAGTATTCTTTTCTGAAGGAGGTTTTGAACTCTCTACTTCTTTGTCCTTTGCTTGTTTCTCATCTTTTACTTTTTGTATATCTTCATTCCTTTTGGAATGATCAAATTTCTTTTCAAACTTTTCTTTCTTGTCTTTCTTTCTTTCTCCCTTTTCATTGCTGTCTGTTTTTTTTTCAGTTTTGTCTGTGGATTTGTTCTTTTGGTCACTGATTTCCTGTTGAACATCCTTGTTTAGCAGAATTAAGCCATTATTCTCTTTTGTGTGATTTTTAACTTCTTCAGCTTGGCAGGGAGGATCACTAAGTTCTTCAGACTTTAGGGCAGTTTCTAGGGTTTCCCCTCCAGAGTCAGGTACTGCCTTTTCTTGATCAGCCATGTCCTCTGACATCCTCTCTTTGTCAGCGCTAAGGTCAGTGCTTGGCTGAACGGAGAGTTTCTTTGATACTCTCTCACTGTTCTTAGCATTGGACGTTTCTGTCGAGGCCCGGGCAGCACTGGCTTCCTGGTTAAGAGAAGTTATGGTTTCCAAGATCGACATGGCATCATTGGCGACATTGGCACTGGACCCAGGAGCAGGGGCACCTTAAGAAGAAAAGATAAATTTTGAAAACATCGATACAGAAGCTAACCACCTGTGCTCAATCAATGCCATGCTCATCTTGCTGTAAAATGCATGTGTGTGCAGACCATTTATGTGCTTACAGATTTCAGGTGCCAGTGCTAGATTCGCATTCAGACCTCTCTACTGCCCAGCACACACAGTGTCTTTGGAAGGGCACTGGCAAATCTGAGAATAGTTTAGTTCCCAGAGAAGAATGTCTTCTGTAATTACCCTAGCGATTCCACTGTAACACACACACTCACACACACATACACCCTGCTACTAAAATGCTCATTATTTTATGCTATACTGAAAAAAAAAAGCCAGTTGAGGAATCTGGGTATTATTTAAGGTAATTACGGCCTCAGTAGAGTAGGCAAATAGAAAATGCTTTAAAGAACCAAATATAACTTCATACTGGGTTCAAGATGAAAAGTAACGGAACTGACAACGAGTAAAAGCAAAGCACCTTGTGTAGTGACAGAAGAGTCTGGTTTCTCATCATCCGGGACCGTGCTGCTGCTTGCTTCCTCTTTGTGATTTAGTGTGGCCAAAAACTCATGCACAGCTTTCTCTACCTGAGGTCTGAATGTGTGGTTGATCTTTGGATCCACAACCTGAGAAATAATTCGATCGATACCAGATTCCAGCATTCCTGATCTGAAATATGGGATATTTTACAGAAAAAGAAAGAAATATTTTAAATAACTACATTAATGACTAAAGGCAAAATAAAAATATATTGGTCATATATATTCTTCTTTAAATGGCCCCAATCCATTCACCTGGATGTAGAAAGTGTAGGCAATGGAAAATAAGTTTCATGCTAGGTGGTACTTTGGTATAGTATACTATATTAAAGTTTGTAAATATCCAATCATTGTGTTACTGGTCAAAAAATAAAAACACCCAACAAAATAAGACAAGAACACTTTTAGACCTGAACTGGAATGTAGCTCAGGGGCATACGCGAGCCCTGGGTTCAATTACTGTAAACAAAATAAAACAAAAGAAGAACAGAACCAAACAAAAAAGAGCAAGCAACAGTACTGCAGACCAGAAAAATGAGCAATACTTTTCTTACCACCCTGACAATAGCAAGCAGGGATTGAGTTCTAGATCTAAAATAAATCCAGGGACTCTTCAAATAACTACCCCTACCCTGCTACAATTCAGGCGTTTGAACTCTGCCTTCTTCTTGGTAGGGAGGAGTTGTACCATTTGAGCTATACCTTCAGCTCCAACACAGTTGTTTTTAGAAAACAGAAACATGTCTTTTATAATAGGCTCTGCAGGAAAAGTGAAGAACATATACAAAGTATAATTTAATCAACTCTTTGAAAACTAAGGAGAACAAAACACAACTCAAGACTTCTGGCTTTATTTTTATTATCTTTCTGCTATAAAAGTGGATGACTTATTCGTTCAACCACTGTGTTATGAGTGTCTTCTCCGTAACAGCCGCCACCCTGACCACCCCCAGGCAGCTACAAAACAGACTTGGTCCCTGGTTCTGGTTTGGGAGGCAGATGCAAAGAACTAAAATACAAAATGCTAGACACAAGCATACACCATGTAGAAAGAAGAAACTGTAGAAAGAAACTACCCAATATGTCCAAGATAACTTGGGAACGCTCCACCAAAGACAAGGAATTTAGGCTGAGTCTTAATTTTTGAGTAAAAAGGGTAGAAAGGTTCTCTAGGTTGAAGCAATATTATGTGCAGCAAGCAGAAGAGTGACAAGGATAATATAAAAAAAAAGCTGTAAAAAGTATCTGAACAAAATAAGAGAACAGAATGGTGTTGTGAGAGGGGAGAGGCAGTCTTTTCCAGCTCTGAGGATTGAGTCTCCGTCTACAGAATGGGCAAGATGTCTGGCCTCACAGCTGACAAGTGCTATGCATGCATGCAGCTCTGTCTAGAGTGAAGGATAGATTAGCTTGTTCATTTCCTGCGGCTTCTTGGCAACCTTGTGACCCTATTTATGTGGGCCGTAGAGAGAAACGGGCCAATGAGGCATAAAGTAGGTTACCTGCTCTAAGATTAAAAAAGAAAAAAAAAGGTGATCCTGTAAACAGTGCCTCTAAGATGTAGCAAGTAGAGAAGTAATACAGAAGAGGAATTATACAACAGTTCTGATTTAAGGCTTAAGTATAAAGGTATATATAAAATAAAAACAATCCTTGTACTCTGTAATTGCATTTTCTTCTCTGCCTGTCTTGCTTTTGTTTGCCAATAAATAAATAAAATACTAGAGGGAGGGGATGGTTGGGGGAAAACAAAGGAGGAGGCAACAATGCTCGATAGTAACTGTAACTCCTCTGTACAGTATTTTTACAATAAAAAAGATACAAAAATAAAATACTATTACTTTTAGTTTTCCTCATATGAGAGTCAATGCTGATATTATACAAAAGTAGAATCCAGCTGGGTGCTGGTGGCTCGTCCCTGTTTTACAAGCTACTCAGGAGCCTTAGATCAGAGTATTGAGGTTTGGAGCCAGCCAGTACCTAAGTCCATGAGACTCTATCTCCAACACAGACAAAAGCTGGTAGGAGACATGACTCAAGAGAGTCAAGCAAACCAGTCCCAGGAGAGTAAAAGACATTAAGCTTAATCTCTGGAGCAAGGGCAGGGAGCTGAGATCACACTGATTTATTTCAGTGGGCTCACTGCCTTGCAGGCATGGCGTGGCCATCACTACTTCTCCACAGTGGGGAGAAGCCGCAGCTCTGGATTCAAGGGCAAAGCTGAAATCCTGGCAACTGGCATTTTACTCGTTAAAGTTGCCTCCTTGTCTTCTTTTTAAATTCTGTTAAGATCATTATTCAAAGTTATCTAGTATTTTCAGATTCTGTTTTATACACGAATGCCTAAACAAAATAAATACTTCTATCCTACTGAGTTAGGAGATTAGCAGAACCATCTGAAATTACCAGTGTTAGATAGCAACTGCAGATGGCAACCTAACAGTCAACAGAATATGTATGACTGCATATGAAAAACGGTTAGAAATTACATATTTACATGGGCTGGTTGGCCCTACACCATCACTTTGCATATATCTAGGTAAGCTTTTTCTTTAAGGAAGTTTTCTCTTTGCTGTGGATTTTTGTGGCAAGGTCTTTGCTAGGCAAAGCATTAAATGAAAGCGTTGTATAATCAGTATGATCCTGTATAAATGTGTGTGTATGAGTGTGTGCATACATGCACAACATCAGTAATGCTCCAGTTCCTATGCTGTTTGGGTAACTTTTCCTGACTGCCTTTGTGGAAATGAGTAACCATCTCAGCCGGACATCCAACAGACACCTTCTAGCCTCTTCTTCTGGAAACAGCTTTTACTTTTCTCTAACGGCTGTTATTATGCAGTCCTCTAATGGTGTCTTTTGATCTTACCAAGAGTCTTTCACAGGTCCCTCAGCCTTTAAAATGCAGACAACACGGCTACTGTAAAGTTCCCTCTCCTTTTATTTACAAGGAGACACAGTCCAAGCCCCCAGGTTCCTGGATTCTAGTATTACATGAGGATAAATGGGTCTTTTGAGGTGTGAATTTTTATTTCTGGGTCTTCCTGCAGTTTGGAATATCACACTACATTGGCTTTTGATTCCTATGTGACAAGAGGGAAATTAAGAGAGGGCAGGTATAAAATGGACTGTCAGTTTAAAAGTTACATTTCATTTTCAAAAATGTGCTTAAATATAAATATTTGTCAAAGCAGGAAGACTAGGTATTCTTTAAATAACATATCTGTTTGGGAGGTGGAGGCTGGGATAGATCTTTTTGTCGTGGCAAATATGTTATATTCCAAAAACAAGTACAAGACTGTAAATCAAAAATACTTTTTGGAATAAATCTGTTTTTTTCCCCAGGATTTTTAAACATTTCAGCTCTTACTCTTTTCTCCTATGTTCACACAAAATGACTCACAGATCTAAACAAACCCTTTCCCCCCTCTGTGTTACTACATAGAAGACTTAAAAATCAGTAAAATGCAAAAGTCAAAAGGGAGCAGCTCTATTTGAGGCTGGTCTCAGATCAGGGGAGAAGTTTTAATTTCAGTGATTTTTTAATAGTGTCTTTATTTGTAAAATAAGAACAATTAAGTGTATTATCTCAGTTTTTTTTTTTTAGCATGTTATTTCTTTTAGATATTTCTATAGGGTTTCAAATGTTTGGTCTTTTCAAATCTGCAAGGAGAAATGTGATTAGGCTGTACTACAAAATTATACTGCATCAGATGGTTAGCTGCATTGAAGCTGATAAAACTACCAGACCAGGAGGTAAATAAATTTCTCTTTTGTGTGAAAATTCTGCTTTCACACAAAATAAGACTTTTGAAAGCCTGCCTAGGAACCCTTACTCCGTAACTTACTTGAGGACTTGCTGTCGAATATTATTTCTGAGCTGGTTCTTATTGAGATGGGGACTCCAGGTATGAGTTGCCAAGTGGTTTGCAACGAAGTTGTCCACACGCTGCCTCAGATTCTGATAGGCCGGCTAGGAAGAAGAAAACAAACATAAATGCCAAAGAGCCTTAAAGTGATACAATACCAACACCTGTTGGGAATGTGACTATCTTTAACAATCTTAAAATCTCTTATATTAGTGTGTCAATAAAGTTCCACAGCATACAACAATCTCATTCAAATACTGCCAATTTTGTCAAAGAGAAGAGAACGCAGAAAGAAAAACCACTAGAAATAAAACACGAAATCCAGTTAGTTGTTTGGAAATGAAGAAAGGAGAGAAGTGGAGGAAGTAACTCATGGATGAAAAGGTGTTATTACAGCTGGATAATTCAGTTTCAAAGTTGTGCAATGTATTTGGGATGACACTGGCTCTCTTTGCAGATACAACTCATATAGGAAAAGAATGTGGATGAGAAGATGTAGGTAGGGTCAGAAGCATTTGTGGAACCCATACCTTGGTAGTCTTAGCTGGTTGGAGAAGAGAATACCAAGAGTAAAGAAATGAGGTTGGTGACATCAATTGGGCTCAGTGCTTCAAGGCTTATATTTCTGTATAAGAAGTCTGAAAACGGGGTCAAGAATGGAAACACACTTCAACAATGAGTGTAGTGATATGATAGCTAACTAGAGTAATGAAGTTTTGTGGGGTTGTCGAAATGCACAAAAAGGCACTAGGTCTTGTCCAGGAATGATTTCTATCCCCTTGCTCCCAAGGTGGCATTTGGCAGGGTGAGAAACATTTTCAGTTATCACAACCGAGGAAGTACTATTGGTATCCAGGAGTAGAAGACAGGGGACATTCTGTAGCGCACAGGACAGAGGACAGTCCCCAGGGCAAGAACTACCCATTCTGAATGTCAGTGTTATAGAGGCAGAGAGAGGAGACACACGGTACATCATTTTCACTTAAAAGGACATTGCTAGAAGGAAAGTATGAACACTCAGAAATGCACTCAGTACCTATAAGTTACTCTTCATTTCTTCACCTTCCCCACGTTCTGCCATTTGCTCCACTTCCCTTTCAGAGTTTATGGTCTAGCAGTAAGTTCTCACGCACCATCCTCCTTTCTGCTTGTCCATCTAGCAAACTTCTCACCTTCAGAACTCAGGCTAACCTGTGGAGTCATTATGACTTATTCGTGTGGCTCTTCCTCCACGTCCCTACTGGCTTCCAGATACACCACGTTCCAGGAATTCCTGCTCTGCTTTGTATTTTGGAGAAGGGGAGATATGTGTCTCCCAATGAAGTGTATGCCTGGTTCTCTCTCATAATTTTTGTTTTCACACAGAACATCATACTGCTTGACAGATAAGCAACTGAAACATTGTTCTGAGAAGACTAGGTAACTATCTCCAACACAGGGTGATAAAGGTTTTATTCCTAGGAGATAAATGTATCTGTTTTCCAGGCTTTTGCTCAAGTGTAGCTTCTACACAGTTGTTTCTCATGCTCCTCTCCAGGTATTCAAAATCAATGTGATTTCTTTCTTTCCAGTGAAAGCAAAAAACAGGTCTTCATTCACATATTTCCCAAATGTAACCAACACTGATTAGACTTAAAAATTACAATGCATTTAGCATTCTCAGTTCCCCTTAAGATGTTCAAATCTGAACTACCTATTGGTAATTTTTCTTGAGTCCAAGTTTTCCTTATATTAGCAAATTCTGTCAGCATCAGCGTCAGAATACATCTAGAACCTGACTGCTTCTGACATTTTTGACTACCAGCACGTCCATGGCATCTTACCTCTTGTCTAGACTACAGTTGCTGATGCTGTCTCTGCCTTTGCCTGCCTCAATTTTATTTTCCAATAGAGTATAGTACACTTTCTAAAATCAGGGTAACTATAAAATTTGCTACCCAAAGTATATCAAGAATGAGCATAAAAGAGAACATTATGAATAATTATCTACGGCCAACTCATCTAAAATACAAGTCAGGTGGGTTTTTCACTAAAACCCTGCCTATGGTCTCATAGTTAGCGTACACCTAACAAGCAAAACAACTAGTGTAGCACCGGAAGCTTGCTAGACTGTGAATGGAAGGAAAAGCACGCCCAGCTCTCAGCTCTCAGGGGGCTCTGCTTCAGGTCTTATGCACTCACTCCCAAGGTTTGCAACTTGGATTGCAGCCACTTTGTTAGTTCCTTTAGGGACAGCTCAACTATCACCATACTCAAAACAAAGAGAACACCTCTTCACTCCTGTCTTGCCTTTTCCCACAGACACTCCACATGTTATTTAGTAGCTATTCTCTGCTAGAATGTAAGTGCTATAACATCAAGAGGACTGCTGGTTTACAGTTGTGTCACTGGTGCCTAAAACAAGTTGTTCAGTGACCGTTTACTGGAGTTGCATGAATAAAGTGATCAGGAGCCTTTCATAACTGAAAAATTGTGTCAAAACAACAACTACTACTACAACAACAGAAAACCCCACTAGGCTTCCTTCAGATATCTGGGAACTGGTAGAACACAATGTGAGAGGCTTAGAGTGGCTGCATCTAGCTTAGATGACAGTTGACCTATGTGCCACAGACAGGTCACCATTTTGGGGAAAGGCTTTGATGACCCCTGAGCTGTGGACAGGAGATGGGAGATTTATCCCCATCTGGGGAAGCTGACTTTGGTACTTCTCATGGTTTAGACACATTCTGATGGACAGATTTGCTCTGATACAGATTTGCATCTGTATCAAATGTCTCAAGTCTGAAAAATGTATGTACTAATATAATCCAGTTAGTTCTATAACCTAGTATGCTACAGGTATTTGTTTTTATTTTTGGGATTTCCAAGCTCTTGTGTCTTTATTCAAATGAAAAAAGGGGTTATGAAATAAAAATCAAAGCTAGGCATAGGCATTACTGGCTCATACCTGTAAATGTTATCTACTAGAAAGCTGAGATTAATTTAAGATATTAATTTAATATATTATTTAGTTGCTTTCTTTTGGGGCAGGGAGGGGGGGGGACGCTGAGGAACACTGAAGTAAGCCCAAGTAAGACAGTCTGTGAGATTCTTCAATTTACCATCAGAATGCCAGATGTGGAACTGTGGCACAAGTGGTAGAGTGTTAGCCTTGAATACAAAAAGGTCAGTGACAGCATCCAGGCCTGGAATTCAAGCCCAAGGACCATCACTCCCCCCTCCCCCCCTGTAAATAATATCTTAAATTAAAACCAACATAATAACTAGCTAAGGGAGAAGAAAAGAGGAGAGGAAAAAGTAAAGGTGACATTGGCTAGTTGATTGTGGAAGCTAATGGACAATAGTACCCAGGAGGGCAACTTCTAGTTCTGCTCTTTCCTAGCTTCAAATACTAAAACAGAAAAGTGTTTCTAGGTGAAATTGCCTAGAACTGAGCATTTTCAACTATTTGAGCAGCATTTTGATTATACATATACATTCTTCTTGGGAGAAGGACCAAGGGCTTCCTCTAGACTGTGCAAGAATCTTAGAAACAACTATGCTTCTCTACTTCATTTGTCTGCTCCCCCCGCAAACCTGCAAAGGCTTCAGAGGCTCTAGAAGGGATTTTGCAGACACAAAGTAATATTTAATTGAGATGTAAATGAATACAAGATTGAGACAGGTATTGTAGCTCTCTTCCAATCAGTACATTAAAAATTCAAGTCGAGGGGCTGGGAAGGTGGCTCAGTGGTAGAGCGCTTGCCTTGCATGCCTGAGGCCCTGGGTTCGATTCCTCAGCCCACATAAGCAAAAAGAAAAAAGCCAGAAGTGGCACTGTGGCTCAAGTGGTAGAGCGTTTGCCTTGAGCTGAAGAGCTGAGGGACAGCACCCAGGCCCAGAGTTTAGGCCCCACGACCAGACATCCCCCCCACCCCGCAAAAAAAAAAAAAATCCAAGTTGAATATACAGTGTGACATCTTGCAGGTTTGCAGGTTTTGGAGAACAGCGAAGTGCAATCTCTACTTGTTAGATACAACTAAACAGTGTTTTGTGGGTAAATTTACTTAGCTTTCTGTAATATTTTCACACAAAAGTAATTTTCAAAAGGCAACGTTACTTTAAAAAGATGGCTGTGCATATTCCCTAACCTAACAATGTAAAAAAAATTGTGCATAATGTCTCAAATTATTCTAGACTTCTGTGGTACAAAACCTTCACTATCTTGGAAAAGCACCTTTTTACACTGTGGTCAGGGTACCAGAGTTCTCAGGGAGGAAGGTTACCTCAGATTTCAGTTGTTTCCAGAGGAGAGGACACACAGTTGCAGTTCACCTCAAAGCCTGTGAACGTTCTGCAGATTTTGGACCCTCCCCCTTTCTTAAAAAAAAAAAGCAGGGCCATTCAGACTAGCCAGTCTATAAAACAAAAACAAAAAACCACAACAATGCCGCAGTTCCATCAAAACTCCAATCTAAGGGATGAACCCAGAGAGAACCTCCTCAAGATTAAGGGGAAAAAAGGAAACAAACTAAAACCCTCAAAAACTTTTCAACACAATTTTCACTCTATCTGTTTCCAGACTGGCTGGTCTTTCTTTTGAACCTTCCCGGTGTCCTTTGTTCCTACATTCTTGACCAAAACGACGACATTGACAGGCTCCTGCTAATCATGTCCGTTCCCCTTGCTGGCCCCTGACTCTTTGGGAGGTGGGGAGGGCAGGGAACTTTTTTTTTTTCTTCTTGTTGCTCACTTTTCCTTCTCCCCGTTATTCTCCAGAACTCAGCTCTTCTTTCCTGACACAGTACCTGCTGTCATCTCCCCTCAATGGACGGCTCTGTTTCTGATCCTCTCTTTCCATCTTCTCACCCTAGAAAAATGACGTCGCTTGGCTACTTAAAGTCCACGGTGTCCGAATCCACCTCTTCACTGCCCACCATTGCACCCGCCCCCGCCCCCAGATCTCAAGGTACAGCACACATACTTGAAAACAACTCGGTTCGATGACTCCCTGAATGCTTTCCCCGACCAAAGACCACCCCCCCCCAAAAAAAAAGAGAGACTAACACATGAAAACCACGACTCCAACTCTGCGGATTTCAAGAGGCAGAAAAAGAAGCACACACACACACACTCACATGCACTCACACACACACGCGCGCACACACACACGCGCGCACATACATGCACTCACACACACACGCTCACACACATGCACATTCACACACACACGCGCACACACACTCACACGCACGCACACACACACGCGCGCACACACATGCGTGCAGACACACACACTCACACACACGCGCTCACCACCACCAAAAACAAACCGAAGCCAGCAACTCGATACAAAGTGAAGGGCGGGACGCGCTCCGCGGTAACAGGGGTGCACCGCTGGGCACTGGGCCGGTCGCCCTGAGCGACAAGGACAGTCCTGCTCACCAGACCGGGGCCGCGCCGGGCCCTGCCTCCCGGCTCGTCGTCGGGGCTCGGCCCGTCCCGAGTCGGTTAAACGAACGCGCAGGTCGGGCGGGATGGAGGAGCGCGCCG